TTTGTCTAGTAAGGATAGCGTACCTTTTGGGAGAAGATGAGTCGACATTTGGAACACGGGCAATGAAGACAATACTGAGTTTATAAGAGTTATCCGACCACCCGTCGAGACATACTTGCCTTTCCATTTTGCTAACTTCTTCTCGAAAGATTCAATCAGCTCTCTCCAGAACATGATGTTTCTTGGATTGCCACCTACCCAAGTGCCCAGATATTTGAAAGGTATTGTGCCAATCTTGCAATTTAACAAGCTTGCCATCCGGGTTAACCATTCCTCTTCCACATTAACACCCATTAACTGGCTCTTCGCATAATTGATCTTCAATCCTAACACCAATTCAAAACTTCTCATGATACACTTGACAGCCCATATATTCTCTTCTTTTGCCTCCCCCATGATCAAGGTATCATCTGCAAATTGTAGATGGGATATGCTTAATTCACCCTTCCCCACTTTAATACCTTCTAGTAATCCCTTGCTTACAGCCTTCATTATCAACCCATTCAGACCTTCTGCTACCAACAAAAATAGAAAAGGGGATAATGGGTCCCCTTGTCTCAGGCCTTTTGACATCTTGATTTGTTGTGAGGGGCTACCATTTATTAGCACAGATATTGATGCAGTTTTCAAGCATTCCTGGATCCATTTCCTCCATTTTTCGCTAAACCCCATTTTGTTCATCTTTGAGTCTAGGAAGTTCCAACAGATATTGTCATATGCCTTTTCAAAGTCTGCCTTAAAAAAGAAGCTTTTTCGTTTCTTGTTCTTTACCTCATCCAGCACTTCATTTGCAATCACAACACTTTCTGGTAACTGTCTTCCTGCAATAAAAGCCATTTGGGTGTCTCCAATTACTCCATCTAACACCTTTCTCAATCTGTTTGCTAGGAGTTTTGGCAAGATTTTATACATCACCCCGATTAATGATTTCAATTATTATTTATATAATATGTTAAATTTTCATCTAAAATTTATAGTCAAAAAGTAATAGGATGCGTTTGGAATTGTTATGAAATACTGTAACTGTGGCTGTGCTAAATATTGTACTATACTTGTGATTGAAGGTTATTTTAGTGTTTAGTTATTTATTCTTAAATGTATTGTGGATGAAATATGATAGATTTTATTAATTATAAATTAAAATTTTAAAAATATTGTAAGAAAAATAATCATTAAAATAGATAATATTTACTATTTTTTAATAATTTAAGTCTTTTAGATTTGTTATCACTTTTAAAATATTATAAATTTTGATGTAATTAAATTATATGAAATTGAGTTTTAATGTGTAATTTTATAATTATATTAAATATTAGGTATTCTATATAAAAATAAGAGCTAAGAAGCTTTAAAATGAGATTTTTTGTTTTATATATAAAATTACTATAAATCTACTATAGCTTTCTATAATTTTTAGAAAAACCAAGATGAAAAAAAAAATACCAAACACATAAATATATAAAAGCACTATATAGCCACACAAAAAAACTCCTAACCAGAATTCCAAACGGACCCTAAGGGTACGGGAAAAAAAAAGAGGAGTATTAATTATTATCTAGAATTGGAAAGGTAGATTCTTTATTCTGTTTTATCTTCTGACGAATTCAATTCCATCACATTAGTAATATTTATCCAAAAAATAATCTAGGGATAATATTTTTATACTATTTTTTATACAAATTTATGTTCATTAAAATAATTGACTTTTTTTTTATTCATTTAAGATTTGTAATATTAAATACATTTATTTATTTAATAATATGTATAAATTATATAAAAAAATGATACAAAAAAATTATTCCTATATCATTATCCTATTTATCCATAGCGGATTCTTTTATTTGGAAAGCAGCCTATCGCACTCATTCAGAGCATCTATTATGGTTCTATTATTATTATTATTATTATTATTATTATTATTTATTTTATCAGCAAAGCATCCATTATGTATAATTTCTACATGAGAATCTTGTAGAAAGACCCTATGCTGATGAGGCCTTTGTGCTTCAAATTTTTCAGTCATTTGTTTCTTGAGAATTTTTACTATCAATAAAGATGTCAATAAAAGTTATTAATTCATATACTTATTAATTCATATATTATTTTAAAATTAAAAAAAAAAAAGAGTTAATTATAACATATGTCTTCTATTGTACAAACCATTGTAAACATTGTTCATCCATCTATTATTTTTGTTCATCGATGTCTATATCTTAAAGATATTGTCGAAGAATCTGGTGCTTGTTTCCATCAATGCACAGATATTCTAAATTTTTAATGCATTATCTTGTCTTCCTACACCTATACAAGGACCAGAGTTGATTGCAAAAACTCATCAAAGAGAACGAAGCTAATAATCAAATTACTTGATTGTAAGTCTTTTAAGTGAAGAAAAATGTCAACTTTCGGCGGCTGCAACAACGGTGTTCAGGCTTGGGGCAACGGAGTCAATAACTGCGGAGCCAATAATGTCGGCACTGGTTCTGGAAGCCAGAACTATGGCCAAGGTTCCGGATCTAACCACGTCAGTGGTGGAATGTGGAAAGTGAGCAACCCAGGTTTTGCTGGCTGCCCTATGAACGTAGGCCCTGGTGCTGGAGCTTGGAATATGGGGTCTGCTTCTGGAAGTGTCAACCAATTCAATGAACAAGCCAATCTTTCTTCAGGATATAAACCCCCTTATTGTTAAGGGTTTTGAGGCTACGTCTGCCAAAATATAGCAGCAGCCACTGATGGAATAACATAAGTTACTATGATGTTATAAATATCAATAAAGTCTGCTGCTTTGTTATATTTTGAAAGTTTGTTGTAGTGAAATGGACTACTAGACTAATAAAGTAAAAATTAGTGCATGCAGCAAGGCCAATTCTAACCCCTCCCGCACACACAGCATGCATCACGACTAGCGGAATAGAAATTCCTTTGGAAACAGAACCCAATTACTAAAAGAAACATCACATGCACTCTCGAACTTGCCCTTCAACCAAATAATTAAACGATTTGGCCTGAATAAACTTAAAGATTTTGCTTTCTTCCCCACCGATCATCATAGATTCGATTCCTAACATACTAGATTGACCAAAAAGTAACTGAGAAGAGTATTTGGACAACAAATTGATTCTTATTACATATATTGAGTAATTTAGGGGCATGATTGGCAAAAGAAATAGTTTAAAAGATTAATTGAATAACGATTAAAAGTATGATGGCTGTTAAATTGTTACCTTTGTCCTCTTGGGTTCGGACTTTTGGTCACATGTAACTTACAAGTACTCCTAGTTTAATGCAGGCCCTCTCATTTCAGCGTCCCGTTGACAATTGCAATATTAAAAAAATACTTCTAGGGCTAAATTGTTATTGTCTAATAGTTCAAGGACGCCAAATATGGGAATTTAAGAATAATTGTGCGTGGAAATTTTGTGTAGATGCTAAGTCCCCCATATTTCTATCTTCAGGCAACATTATTTTTGGTAATTTCTATATATGCTGAAGTCACTGTCCAAGAATCTGGTGCTTCTTTCCACTAACGATAGTAGACATCCACGTACAGTTTCCACCGAATCCACCCAAATACAGTATCTAGCAAAATTACTCCCTGAGCATTTCTGCAGCCCATTCATCTTTTTTCAAAGAGCTCAATAATTTGCAAAACTTGTCTATAATAACTTCTTTAAAAAAAAAGAAAAAAGAAAAAAAAAAGTTTTCCCTCAAAGAATTTTTCAAACTTAATAGCCTTTAGAACATGTACGATGGGAATAATAAAAAATCTCATTTTGATACCACATCATCACAATTAATATTATTTTATCTAAATTTTTATTTTTATATATTTAACTCTTGATTATTCATTTATTCAATTGTAATAGTTGAG